CTATGAGTATTTGAGTTATGTGGTATGTCATGTGATAGTGTCTTAGTTTATGGTTATGGCTTGATGCAGCTTGTTCAAACTTATATAGTGTGTAGATGCAAGATTTGGGTCTTCTAGGAAATTTTGGATATTGGAAATGGGATTCTTAGGCTTATGGGCTAAAGTTTAATTATGGATCTTCAGCTAGGTTGTGACGTCAGGCTTATATGGATTAGGGTGATGTGGGATCACCCTCTAGCATGTGCATGGTAAGGTTACACAGTTTGACGGCTTAGGAACAACTCTTGGCACGTTCGAGGACGAACTTATGTTTAGGTGGGGAGAATGTAACGACCCGACCGGTCGTCTTGAACATTTGCATTACGTTTAGCTATTTGAAGTCTTGAGCAGCATCGAATGATGTATTATGACTTGTGTGAATCGTCGGTTTTCATTTTCAGGTTATTCGGAATTGATTTGGAAGAATAAATTTCAGGTTTGAAGCTTTAATTTGGAAGAAATGACCAAGTTTGACTTTGTAGTATTTGACCTCGGATTGGAGTTTTGATGGTTCAGTTAGGTCGGGGTAGTGATTTTAGACTCAGGCGTATGCCCGGATTCGCAATTGGATATTTCTAGAAGGTTTCGGCGCTAATTGGCGAAAGTTGGAAATTTAAAAGTTTTGAAAGTTCATAAGTTGTACCGAGAGTTGAATTTGAAAATATCTAATTCCGATTGTGGTTCCGGGAATTGGAATAGCTTCGTTATGTCATTTGGGACTTTTGTGCAAAATTTGAGTTCATTCCGTGTTGATTTGATATGTTTGGGCGCGAGTTTTGGAAGTTGAAAGTTCAAAGTTCATTTAAGTTTAAAGTGAGCTACGATTCGTTGTTTCGATGTTGTTATGTATGATTTGAGGTTTCGAGTAGGTCCGTGTTAGGTTATGGGACTTGTCAGTATGTTCGGGCGGGGTCCCGAGGGGTTCGGGCGCGTTGCGGATTGTTTTCGGACCATTTTTCTTCATTTTGGCATTGCTGATGTCTGGTACACCCAAACGTTCTTCGCGAACAGAGAGATGCGATCACGTAAGGGAAAATTGGAGCTGAGTATTTCTTCTTCGCATTCGTGAATGATAGTCCGCATTCGCATAGGTTTCTGCAGATTGAGTATCGTGTTCACACAGTTGTCCACGCATTCGCGAAGTGTTTGTCTGAGTTGGGCAGTCGATGGCCTCTTATTCGCGTTCCCACATTTCTCCCACGTTTGCCTAGTTCTGCCTGCTATGTGTATCGCAATCGCGAGGCTTGTGCCATGAACTCATAGAGTTAATTGTGGCAACGTCTGTTTGTGCATTGCGATCGCGAGGGTACTACCTCCATCGCATAAAGTACCACTGTGCAGTGCATATAAGTACTCTATTTTCAGACCTTTAGTCATTTTATCATATTTGGCGCTATGGAGCTCGGATTGGAGTGATTTTTGAGGCGATATTCACCATATGGATTAGGGTAAGTGTTCTCTACTCGGTTTTGGTTATATTTTGGTGAATCTCTCTACGTTTTGGTAATTAGATTCTGAATTTTAAAGAGAAAATTGGGGGGTTTTGTCTAAAGTTTCATAGAGTGAAGTGTTGAGTTTTGAACATCGATTCGGAGTCAGATTTTAGTGAAACTAGTATGGTTGGACTCATAATTGAATGTGTTGTCGTATTTTGTGAGTTTTGTCAAATTTCGAGGTGCGGGCCCAGGTTTGATTTTTTGGTTGACCTTGGACTTTTGATTAAATATTCGAGGTTTATTGATTAGATTTGTTTTCTTAGGCATTATTTGATGTGTTTGAGTTACTTTTGGCTAATTTTGAGCCGTTCGGAGGTCGATACGTGCGGGATGGCCTTTTTGGAGCATCGATTGGCTTTCTCGATACTTGATTTGGCTTGTGTGAGGTAAGTAACACTTCTAAACTTGGTGTTGAGGGTATGAAGCCCTGAATATACATGTTATGTGTTTGATGTTGAGGTGAAGCACATGCTAGGTGAAGGGTGTATGGGCGTGCACCGAGTGAATTACGACTCGATTGATTATGTGGTACAGTGTAGTGACCTATTCTTGTTTCAATTCATGAAATTGCTACGTGCTAGAGTAATTGAGATGTGATACATGTTAGAAACCATGTCTAGGCTATATACTTATCCCGTTAGGACCCACTAAGGTTATTTCTATTGTTGACTTATTGCTTACATTACAAGTACACACTCAGTCATACGCATTCATTTACATATCATATCTCAGCCTCTGTTGCCATTTATTGATACATCACATCATCTTTTTTTGGGGCTGATTTTCATGACATTGTGAGCCCGAGAGACTGGAGAGATTGATGACTGAGTGAGGCTGGGAGCCTGATTATGAGGATGTTTATGGGATCGGGTTGCCCTCCGCAGCAGGTATTATTGATTCATAATGGATCGGGATACACGCCGCAGCACACCCACAATGAGTGCAGTTGCTATTAATTTTTTGGCTGGATCTACCATGTACAATGTTGAGTGCAAGTGCTGAGTGACTGTGAGGACTGAGTGACTGTAAGGACTAAGCGACTGTGATGACTGAGTGATTGGGAGGACTGGGCGAATTGTTACACCGAGAGTATGCATATGGTTTCATCATTGCATTGTATTACAGTTGGCATGCATACATGGCACGTAGGCATTGAGATGCATTTCCTCGTGATGTACGGTATAGTGACACTCATGACATTCACATGTGCATTGACATGTAGGCATAGAGAAATATTTTCCTCATGCTATCTGAAATGAAACACTTTATTTGTTGTTGAAAGATTTTGGGAAAAATCACATATTTCAGACTTATTTTGGTGTTTTCGGTGAAAGAATTGGGATTTACTGTTATACTTGAAAAGCATACCTATTTTTCTGTAACTGTGATTGAGTTGAGCATCATATCTCTAAGTTATTTCTTGTATCACTTTGTTACATTGTTATAAACTGTTGTTGGTTATTGGTGTTGGACTCTGACCTTTGTCCTAGCTCGTCACTACTTTCAAACTAAGGTTAGGTTTGTTGCTTATTGAGTACATGGGGTCTATTGTACTCATACTACACTTCTGCACCTTGCATGCAGATTTTGGATGTTGTTGTTGTTGTGTATGGTGGGAGCTGGATTTAAAGACGTACCTGCATTCCGGTCATAGCTGCCTCTTGATCTTGGTATCTTTAGAATTTTAATTTGTTCATGTATATTTCAAACATATGATGTATTTATTTCATGCCAGCTTTGTAAACTCTAAATCTCAGAAGCTCATGATTTGTACTACCAGTCCTTGGGAAATGTATAAGTTTTAGATATTTTATCATTTATTTGTCTCAATAAATCTCGTTAAATTGGATAGTTGTTAATTGGCTTACCTAGCAGGTTGGGTTAGGTACCATCACGACTACTAGATTTTGGGTCGTGACAAATTGTTACCGCAATTCCATTCGCAATCCTCTCTCATAATATTCTCAGTTTATCCGGGTCCTAAATATTTTGTTAGATACCACTATACATTATTCAATAATAATTTCTTCAACCAAACAATATCGAGCTGATCAACTCTTAATCGCTGTGATTGTTTTTTTCATCGGATAACACTCCATTATGCAAGAAGTTTATAAATACATTGCGCCAATCCCAAGTAAGGTTAGTCAAATTTACCTCATTCTTCAAACGATTGAGTGACGGGTGAAATAAATATACTATTGTAGTATTTCGGAATCAGTGATATATGTTGCCGACCCAAGGTTGGCCAAGGCATAAGCTTCGGTATTCTCTTTTTGTGGTATTTGAATTACTTTTAACTCCTGGAATTTATTCAGCAGTTTTTTTTTTCACTTTCTCCGAATATTGTTGAATTCGAGTCTTCCGTGCCATATATGTTCCTAGTACTTGATTTACCACCAATTAAGAATCCTGTTTCATCTCAATTTGTTCTATGCCGAGCTCTCTAGCAAGTTCTAGACTTGCAATCGCAACCTCATACTCGGCTTCATTATTAGTGCTATGATCACATCTGATTGATTTTCTAACTACCTTTCCTTATATGAGAATATCATTATTCCTAACCCATTAGTCTTTACATTAGAAGATTCGTCTGTGTATAGGGTCCAAGTCCACATATTAGTTTTAGAAGCGATATGTGCTTTTTTGCTTCGGAGAGTATGCCCGAGCTCAAATCAACCACAAAATATGCTAAAACTTGTGATTTTATAGTTGTGTGAGGTTGACAAATAATATCATACTCACTAATTTTGATTACCCAATTAGCAAGCATACCCTAAAGTTCTTGTTTATGAAAAATGTTCTATAAAGGAAATGTTATAACAACAAAAATCGGATGAAAATGAAAATATGGTGTTAACTGCTAGCTAATAATATTAATACTAAAGCTAATTTTTCCAAGTGAAGATACCTAGTTTCGGCATCTAGCAACATAATAAATAGGTGATTGCATACTTTTATCTTCTCAAACTAACATTGAATTTACAAAGACTTTCGATATTGCGAGATATACAACCAACTTTTCTCCCTCTTGTGGTTTTGAGAGCAATGGCAGGTTAGATAAGTACTTTTTCAAGTCCTTTTATGTATGCTTACATTTTGACATCCATTCATTTTTTCAGCAATGAAAAAAAGTTGAAATGTCTTTCAGAAGTTCTCAATATGAACCTTTCCAGATGATGTGCCGGGGAATTTCGGCACATTTCAATACTAGTTGCTTAGATTTTAGTTTATTTTAATGCAATTACCTCCTTTACTCATATAATTTTGGTGTTTTTACAGTACATAAGGACTAAGGACCCAGGAGCATGGAAATGAATGCAAAAAAAGACAAGAAAAGAGCAAAATGTAGCAAAAATGCGATTCTGCGACGCATTATGCGATCGCAGATCACATCTGCGAGCCACATAATCGACACCCATATCGCAGACAAAAGCAGAGTTCTGGGCAAATCTCAAGTCAAGAATGCGGTCCATTATGCGACTGCAGAACCTGTCTGCAAGCCGCAAAGTGGACCGCAAACAAACCATGAAGGTTGCTGAAGGACGAATGTACGATGCAAAACGCCCAAAAAAGAAGAAATTAGCCATTATAGAAAGACAAAAAAGTGAGAATACAAAATAGAGAAATTTTATTTGTGTCTCACATGCCACATCATACTTATGTGAGTCTCTTTTATTACTTGACAAGCGGACTCATGGAACCCGCTTAGCTTAAAAAAAAAACTGAACTTGTGTGTAACAATAACATAAGAGAAAGCATGAATATAAATCATCTTCTTCCACATTTACAAAACAAAGTATTCAAAATCATATTAAAAACAACACAAACTGATAGCAACAACATAATGAATCAAAAGAATAGATTGTTCAAATAACCACACCTCANGATGACGCATTGTGGGCATACCGCACAGCGTACAAGACTCCTATTGGTACTTCTCCATATCGGTTAGTCTTCGGCAAAGCTTGTCATCTACCTGTACAATTGGAACACAAAGCCATGTGGTCTCTAAAAAGGTTGAACTTGGATTGGGGTGAAGCTGCAAATTTGAGGTTGACACAACTCAATGAAATGGAGGAATTCCGTTTCCATGCATATGAAAGTGCAGCTGTGTATAAGGAAAGGATGAAATTCGTCCATGACAAGAAGATCTTGAAAAGGGAGTTCAAGTCGGGTGATTTGGTTTTTCCCTTTAACTCCAGGCTCAAATTGTTTCCGGGCAAGCTTAAATCCAAATGGTCCGGTCCGTTCAAAGTAGTAAGTGTCTCTCCTTATGGAGCTGTGGAACTGGCATCGGAAGATGGGTCCCGGACCTTCAAAGTAAATGGCCAATGCATCAAGCATTACCTGGGCACAGATGGAGAAAAACACTTGGTGGAGCAGCTGGCTCTAAAATATGGTCTGTGTCCGACCACTGAGTGAATCCAAGGGACATCAACTCCGTCGTGCCGCGACGTTAAATCAAGCGCTTCATGGGAGGCAACCCATGTGTGGTAACACTCTTTTGTTTTTCTTTTTTTTCAATTTTTAATTTTTGATAGATAGATTTACTTGAGCAATTTAAAGTGTGTGTTAGAGTGCAGGGGGTCAAAAGATCACAACACATGGTGGAAATGCATGAGAAAGGTAAGAAAAGATCGGTGTGCAAAGTCTGCTGCAAAGATGCGGTCGCATGTTAACTATGCGGACCGCATTTTGATCGCAGACCCAAACAGTGGGTTTGGCCAAACTTGGGTGTCAGAATACGATGTGGTTGTGCACTATGCGGACCACATTTCACTTATGCGATCGCATATTGCACCGCATTTATGACTCGTAAAGCATCTCACTTGAACCTACCGCATAACACATATGCGGTCGCATTGTGTGTTATGTGGTGCCCTACCTACCGCAAAACTTGACAAGGTAAGTGGCCGCATTCTCTCGTCTCTAACTCGCTCAAAACAAAACAAAAACAAAAGAAAAGTAAAAAGAACAAAGAAAATAAAAAGAAAAAAATTAAAAGGAAAATACGAACAGCACAGGGAGGTTAACAACAAGGAATCGAATCGCTTAAGGTTCAAATCTTCAAACTCATCCCAGTAGTGTGCACACTAAGCATCGCTGGTATGTACCCATTCCTCACTCTCCTTGTTTACGATTCGCTTTGTGTGCTCGGTGATTCTCATTCATCCCGTTCTATAAATATGTGTTTATGTGTTGCTGTGTGTAGTTATTTCTCCATAGTTAGGTAGATTCTGGGTTGGAAATTATCTGGGAAGCGGGTCGAAGGAACTAGGGCCACCACTGCTGCAATGGTTGTTTGAATCTCGAAGAAGACGGTATATGCGGCCCGCAAAGTCAAAATGCGGTCCGCATTTTGACCGCAAACCTAACCCTAGTTCTTCTGAGGAAGATGGTGAAATGCGGTGACTTTGCGATCGCATAATTGATATGCGGACCGCAAAGCCACCGCAGAGTAACACAGACCACCTAGTTAAGAGTATGCCCTTTGCGGTTGTTCTGCGATCGCATTTCCTACTTTGTGGTGGTGTCTGCGATTGCATTGTGTGATTTATGTTTTGGGCAAGTCGATTATGCGATGGTTATGCGGTCCGCATAGTGGTTATGCGATCGCATAACCCACCACAGCCTGGAACCAATTGAGACTAACAGAACTGCGACGATTCTGCGGTCCGCATTGTGGTTTTGCGATCGCAGATCATGTCGCACTTCAAGGTTTTCCTTTATTTTCTTCTGTTCTTTCTCAGTATTGCTAGTGTTGACACTTATGCCATACCATTGTGCAGACATGGCTCCAAAGAAACACTCAGCCTCTGCATCAAAAAGGACTTCCTCCAGTCGCCAGGAATCACAAGCAAAACGTTCACGGACGGAAGCAAATGTGCCAAACCCCTCCCAGTCTGAAGAGGAGGAGGTCAGGCCCTCAGTTAATTTAGAGGCTGAAGAAAGAAGGAAACGTGGCGAAGACTTCCACCTCCGATTTGGGGTTGAGGGGTCCAGGGAACTATACAGAGAAGGGTTCACCAAGCGCAAAATCCTGGCCGAAAAAATAATTGAGCTTGAACGGGATGAAAGATTCAGTACCCCCACATCTTCGGAGAACAGTAAAAAGCACGGAGACTGGGAGTGCTTCACTGAGCCACCCAATGAGTACAATGAAACCCTTGTGCGGGAATTTTATGCATCATATGGAGCTTCTAGGACAGCACACCACAAATGCAACACGAATCTTTGTTGACACTGTCCTTGTTCAGGGGCAGAGTGTGTTTTGCAACAGCGACACCACAAATGAATTGTATATCCCTGGCTGGAGAGTGGGTACAGCTGAGTACGATGCTAAATTTGCAAATAGGGAGAATGAGCGTGGGTGGATTGCTTCGGTGATAGCAAAGGGGACCCCTGCTTGGATAAACCCTCGGCACAAGATATACAAGAAAGATCTCACGAGAGAGGGTCGCTACTCGCTCAGTTTTGTACTTCTCGATTGGTACCAACTCGGAATGAAACTGAAATAGCCATTGAGAAGGCTCTCTCATTGCATGTATCATGAC